CCCCCCCCCCCCCCCCCCATTTTTATTAATTAAAAACTGAATACATTTTTATTTTCTATCACTTTTCACACCAAGCAGTTAATCAAGAGAAATAATTGGCAGTTTATTTTACTTAATTTCTACTTCTTTTTTTCTATTTAGGGGAGACAGCTTGTGTAACACATCACATTTGAAAGATAAACTAAAGCAACGTGTCAAAAATGTTTCTCAGAAAATCTGGCTTTTGAAAAGCTGATGATAAAGATGAAGATTGGCACCCTGGCTTTTAGGCATGAGTAGCACATGTTGTTTGTCTCTGTACAGTTTTCTCGACTCATTTTTCTAAGTGTTTTTAGTGTGTTTTGGTTCTTGAATATTGGAGGTTTAAGGCTTCTTAGTAAAACTGCTGTTAATTCTCTCAAAGCCCAAACCCTGCTGTGGTTTTGTTGTTTTATTACAGGAATGCTTTTGTAACCCGCTTATTAAATTTAATAACAAACCTAAATAATTGCTTTGTGTTTCCATAACCAAACCAGAGCATTTCCATGGGTTTTAATTGGCTGGTGTAAATGCCATTTAATTATAATGAAAATTGCTTTTCCCCCTAAAAAATGGCCTCATTTCTGAGGACCCGCGTTTCTGGGAAATGACTGTGGAGCCTGATTAAAATTAGTTAAAAGTCACGGGCACTGGTTGTGATCTTTGATTTTTAGTTGTCAGCTGAAATGGGCTTTGGTGTTGACTAGTGAGTGGCTGAGTCCTGGCAGTGCAGGACCTTCATGCCGTGGAAGCAGAAGGCCGCCAGCAGGTGATCGTAGCCGTACTCGGAGGGGCCTCACTCCACTAATCTCTCTGGAGGAAGTCTGGAAGTGTGTCATGCAGAAGTGGGAGGATGGAGAGGCAGTGAGAGTGTGTGAGAGAGAGTTTTACGTGGGTGGATGTTTGTGTGTTGTGTCTGTGTCTCAGTGTAGCAGCAGGGTGCAAGTGTAGGATTCTGCGATCTTACTCGTTCCTGTTTGCGTTGGCACCTGTCCCAGCACGTTTTACTCTGCCCCCTGCAACCCAGCGCAGCACAGGGGAGGGGACGAGGTGGGAGTTTTAGACAAATTTGAATATTTTAGTGTAACATGAAACTTTTTGCTACATGGCCCAGAATTTCCTCAGATTCAGAAAAAATGTGTTCGTTTGATTAGAAATAAATATGCACGCACACGCTTACTCTTGTTATCTCTGTCTGCCGGTTGGGGGATGGATTGTGTGTGTGTGCCTGTGTGTGTGTTTGTGTGCTTGTGTGTGTGTGTGTGTGTCAGGCAGTTGTATTGGAGAAGGTTTGTTGGACTTGTTTGGGATTTGTTTGGACTTGCACAAACTTTGAACAAACCTCATGAGGGTTTTTTACTGAAATAACTTTTATTGAAAGAAGTTGGAAAAACACTAAAAAGGAACTGATTCTCAAACTTTCCTTCTTGACGAACGTCTTAGGTCTTACGTCTGTAATTACAAGAAGCCAGACTGAATATTGCTGGATCATTGCAGCCAGGTTAGACTGGACAAAAGTACTGAGCCTCCTACACATTACACCGACAGGAGCTGCTCAGCCATGGAGATCCATGCCAGGAAGCTCCTGGTGCACGGTTATTGTGCTGATTTTAATGTCAGAGGAGGTTTAAAACGGCAGTTACTGATTCAGGAGAGCGTTGGTGACTTTTATGCACCATGTGCCTCTGCACTCTTGTTCCTAAAAACGTCCACGTTGCAATAATACCACTTATAACTGACTGTTGAACATTTAGGGGGGAATAAATTTCAGAAAGTGACTTGTTGCAAATCCAATAATAAAAGTACCACATTTAAATTTAGTGAACTCTTTTGGGAAACTCATTCCTTCACAATTTTTGGTAAAGGCAGACTTGATTTTATACACCTGTGATAAGTTGACTGGCTCATGTTTCCAACCATCCCACAGGTCTAAGGCTACTTGGCATTGGGAGAAACCAGTACATCGACCTGATGAACCAGTGCAGGTCCTCCAAAGTAAGATGTCATTAATATGTATTTTAATGTGTTTTATTACACCTGTGCTCTTTTTAGTCTGTTTAAGCTGAACGAAGCCAGGTATACTTTGCAATCTGGGGCCCAACAGTGTACCATAGATGGTTAGTAAAGTCAGTACGGACTAGCAACTTGAATAAAGTAAATTCTCCTTTTTGCTTTATTTACTTTGATTGCTTGTCCATTAGTTTTTCCATCTTTGTAATTAGAATATTAATATCTTTAACTTTTCTCACTTCACCTGCTATTTGCTGAGCCCTCTTTAATAATCTTTGTCTCCACCTTTAGAAATTTTTCCGCAGGAAAACAGCACGGGACCTACTGCCGGCCAAACCAGTCGAGATCTCCGTGGAGCCGTGGTGGGTGGCACAGACAGGCTACATCACCGAGGACGACATAAGGGTGCGACAGAAATTTGACTCTTTTCTTCTTGATTTGTTTCAGTTAAATAATGTACAATAAGACCCTGTCATTTTTTTTATAGAAAGCTCAGTGTCAAAAATCACATATTTGTCTCAAGCTCTTTACAGCCGTACAGAATACATACAGCGATGTGGTTTAAGGTACAGACAGGCCAAAGAAACCTGGGTGAACATAGGTAGGGAGGATGAGAAAGCTTGGATCCTCATGTTGGAAGTTTAGCGTAATTCTGTCTGTTTAGATGTTTATGTGCCATAGGAAGGATAACATACACATGAAGAGAAGAAGAAACAACATGAAATGAGTGTAGTGAAGACGGTGAAGAATTACTGGTGTAATGTTTTTGTTTTCAACCTAAAACATAAATGAGCGAATTCTTCTAACAATTCTTTTTTCCACAAGAAAAATAAAGAAACAGAAATCAACACATAATATAAAGTTGGATTACCATGGGTGCTTTTTTAAAAAACCCTTTTTTGAAGCATATTTCTGTGGTACAGGTGTGTGCTAATGTCATCTGTTTACTGGATCAACTTGCAGATCTGTTCTCCCGCTGAGAAGAAAGCCATTGATAAGATGATAGATTCTGGTCCTCAGCTGGCAGGATCCATGGAGTACAACGTGGTCTTAAGTGAGCAAAATACTCAGTTCTATTTGCTCGTGCTCAACCATAAATTAGGTGGCAAATGTTTAAATCTTGTTAGTTGTTTATAGTAAGAACAGATTCAGTCTTACCTCAGTGTGTTGGACTGATTTTCGGAGGTGAAACACAGGGATGAAGGTTGTGTTCTTGCAACTTAGATGCCAATTAGAGATCAGTTTGAGTGTGATGAACCTCTACACAGGAGTGCTGGTAACTGAGTGGCAACAAATAGAATAAAATGCACTGAGACGCTTTGCAATCTGAATATGTGTAGATATTCTGATGAGATTTTTATTGGGTTGAGGTTTTTCCAGCATACTATTATTCTACTCTGATGAAGCAGTAACTGCACAGGTTCTGTCATAATATTAGTTTCCACATGGAAATAGCAACAGCAAATATACAAAGAGAGTATTTTATACTGTTTTTTTCTCTGCTGTAGGCTTGTACAACCGGGGATTCATCTACTTAGATGTTCCCATATCTGATGACAGCTGCATCTCAGGTACGTGTGTGTGTGTTTGTGTTTAAACATCCCTTTTCTATTTGCTGTCGAAATATTGAACATAAATGAAATGCTAAAAGCTAAATAAGTATTATGGGAATGAATTTGCACTGATCTGAAATCACGTGTTATAAGAGTATTACAGACACAGTACTGTGCAAACGTTTCAAGCTAACCTGAGTTTCTTTATGTTTTTCTTAAAGAAACCAGATTTTCTTATAATTTTTCAAGTGATTTTTAAGAAACAATTCTCGAGGCTCTCTGGCAAAAGTTTTTCTTTTGGACATTGGCAGCTTTTTCACTTATTTTTACTCCAGTCCTTGTAACTGACCATTTTCAGCAGAATGCATTTGTTTGTTAAGACACTTAACACCTGATCTGTGAATCATTCAAGCACAAAAAAAGCATCTTACTGAAATATGTGTCTACACGTACCAGGCTGCTGAGCGAAGAGCTAATTTTAAATTGTATCTTTTGTTATTTTGCTACTGTCAGCCTGTCTCAAAAACACTTCTTTTGTTCCCATTTCTATAGTCGAAAAATGAAAAATGTCAAACATGACACAGTTTGACAGACATAAAATAGTGTTTTTGCACCAACAAGATGATTCCCAAACAACTATTAGCTGAAAACCTGACATATCCCAGCATGAGACGAACAATATCTTCAAGCCATGTCTTTAAGAAATAGCAAAAATCCAGCAAAGACCTGACACAGGACCTGATAGTTGGCATTTCAGTTGATAAATCTACTGCTCACTGAAGCCTCATCAGAAATGGTCTCAGTGGAAGGATAGCTGTCAAATAGGAGGAAAGGCTGAGGTTTGCCAAATTACACAAGAACTGGACTGAAAATCAGTGGCAACAGGTCTGTGATGCTCAAATCAGCGAGGGCTTAAAACACGGTGGAGGCTCTGTTGTGGTAAATTGATGGAATTATAAATCAGATTTTGATCCACCACGCAATTCCATCTAGAAAACATCTGATTGACAAAAGCTTCATTTTTCAGTATGACAGTGACCCCAAACACACTGTCAGTCAAGTAAATTCATAGCTGCATAGAAAAACACACATTGGGAAACACAATCAGGCATGGATTGGCCTCCCCAGAGCTCGGAGCTCAACATTGTTGAAGCAGTGTGGGATCAATGTGGGAAATGAAGAGGTCAGTCCACACGTTTGCACAGTACTGTAGTGTATTTAAAAAGAAGGGAACGGAAACAGTTCTGTGTTTGAAGAGTTGCTGAACAGTTGTTGGTTACTGTTTGTGTCTTTCAGTGCCCCCACTGGAAGGGTTTGTCATGAACCGGGTCCAGGGTGATTACTTTGAAACGCTTCTGTACAAAATCTTTGTGTCCATCGATGAGCAAACAAACGTAGCAGAGGTAGGCTTTAGAAATGTGTTTCATTATCCTCTGGCTGCTGCGATCATAGTAAGAGAGTGTGTGTGTTTGTTTATCGATCAACATTTCAACCAAACACTTTTTTTGTGTCTCCTGATCCTGCCTCCCTCTGCGCTTCCCAGCTGGCAAATGTGTTGGAGATCGACTTGGACTTAGTGAAGGTAGGTATCTGTTCATCCTACTGTAACTGAAGTGCAGTTTTTCAGAAGAGAAATGGGGAAACGGTAGATCTGAGAAATATGTCTTTCAAAATTTTCACAGAAAAATGCAGAAGTGATTTTCTGCGCTTCCACTGTTGCTTTAGAAGAGATTTGTTAAACGTACTTCTTGCTTCTCTTTGTCTGCAAAGACACATGGCAGAGCAGCGTTTAGATTAAATGAAAGAAAGGGAGCAGCTTGTTTTGAAAAATATGTTTTGCTGCATAGGAATAGGAATTTGCTTTTCAAGGATGTGACGTTGTGCCATTTTGTCTGATAAGCAGCTATCACATCGGATCTTTGTTGTCTTGGAATTTCAGAGACTAACTCTGAGGGGGGGGGAAAAGCTTTTGATAATATGTAGCCAAGTGAGGAGACATTTCAGCACAATTTGGCCGTTTCGGTTTGGATACACACTCACGCAGACGTGTATTTGAGTACCACGATTAGATCTATCATGACCCATGACTCCACCAGAGGGGCTGAGCGGCATCATTCCTGTTGAATTGCTGCTCCAGATGCACTCCATCATCACTTGGTCCCATCTCATTGGTGCAACTGAAAAGCAGCACTTAGGAGAAGTGGTTGAAGGCAGCGATTTAAAGCGAGTCTCCAGCAGAAGGCCTGTAGCTTCTGAGATGATTGAGATGTCTGAGAAGTCTCCATTGTGCAGAAACTTTTCCCATCCTGACTTGAGTTTGAACTTTCCTCCTGTGCAATAACCACTTCGTGGCCTAAGTCATTTGAAAGAAACTTCCTCCCAGGGCCTCTTTTGATATGATAAGAGGATGACTAGTTGACCTCAGCCTGCACCTCTTGGGTGTAAAGGTGTGAAAAGCAGTCAAGCTCACTGTGCTCATGTCTGAGTAAAAGACTTAACAGCATGGCGAGTTGATGACTGTAGAAGTGGAGGAAATAATGAAAAGGCCAGACAGCTGTACAGTACAGCTGTACTACCTTTCTTTTTTCTCCAGTTTTTGAGACCAGTTGAGTCAGCAGCCAGTAATTGCTTTCTTTTCTCCCTAAGAGCATCATCCAAAAGACTATTCAGATTGCTTTTAGTCACTTTGAGACTCTCACAAGGCATCTCTGTTTACAGTATAATTTGACAATGTAATTTCAAATCCTCTTAAAGCCATTCAAACTGAGGGGGTTGGTTTTCTTGGGCTACACGTTTTTATGACATTTGTCCATCTTTGCACTGAAACGGTTGACTTTTTTTTGACAATACAGTTGTTTTTTTCAGGATTTTTAATTTACTGTTGATATTTAGATTAAAATGTTAAATGAGGTCTGATTTAAAATATCTTGCTAATAAACTCTTTAAAAGTTTGTAATTTGTATGGATATAACTGCCTGAACCTAGACAGCGTAGTTTTGAGTTACTCTTACTACTGCAGGGTGGATTTCTGTACTTGAAAAGAAAATTTAGTCAGAAAAATGTCAGCGGTAAAGCTAAGGGCGATGTTGTCATCAGAGATTGCACCATCGCACAATACGGGAAGAAATGTTTCCCAGAAGAGAGAGATAAAAATACCAAATTTTCTGGTGACGGTCTCAAGACATTTTAGAGCAAAATCTGTAACCCACTTTTCTTCTTTCCTTACCTTATTATTGCATCTCTCTCTGTTGTATCACTATCACACTCAACAACCACTTCTTTAGATACACTTTCCCAGCACTTGGTTGGACTTCGTTTGCTTTCAGAACAGCCTTAATGGCAGTAAAGGGTTTTGCATGGTTAGCAGCAATAATCAGATGTGTGGTGTTTAAATAAGGCTTAGTGGGTCTAAAGCATCCAAAGTAAGCCACAAAGTCTCCCCTACACAATTACATCATCGCCACCAGCCTGAACCCTTACAAAGCAGGATGGATCCATGCTCTCATGTTGTTTACACCAAATTCTCACCCTACCATCTGAATGTCACAGCAGAAATCGAGGCTCATTAAACCAGGAAACATTTTTCCATACATGCGTTACGTGTCTGCCATGTGACTGGGAGCAGTTAAACAGGTGTACCTAATAAAGTGGCTGATAAGTTTACATATGGTTTCAGATATGTTATTTGTGGGATCAAGCATCATTTGCGTGTGCTTCTCCTGTGTTTTATCAGAACGCAGTGTCCATGTACTGTCGCCTCGGCTTCGCCGTGAAGAAAGGTCAGGTGTTCAGCTCAGACCAGCTCCACCCCACCTGGAAGAACGCCCCATCTGTTAACAGGCTCAAGTATGTGTTGTCATCGGTCAGTCAGCGAAACACCATCTGAAACCTCAGTGTAGTGCAATTTGTTGAAATACATTTTTACATTTACACAGTTGAGCACACGAAAAACCAACATTTTAATGGAAGCTTCGAGCGTTTGAGACTCCAGAAACCGCCACACACCAACGTTATTCTTATAAAAATTCCATGCCATCAATGTTTAATGAGTTTTAATTTCCCCAGCTTTAGGACATGATGAATGTGATGGGGTGACAGTGTCCTTTATGTACTGTGTACTGTTATGTACTGTTGTAGGAGCACTATGGACCCCCAGAAGATGCTGCTGTCCTGGGAGCAGGGCAGTCCTGTAATGGAGGGAGGCTCCTCAGCCACAGATACAGACACCACTAGCCTGGAAGACCAAGGTCTGTATACACACACACAGGCATATTCTGCAATGTATGCAAATGTTGATGTGCGCACACGGAGCACTTTATGATTTGAGTTTGAAGCAGCAGTGTTAATTAATCCCTAAGAAAGCTCAGTCATGTTTCTGAAACTCATTCTCACATTAATAGGTGTTTCTCTAAAACATTCTCATATTTAAACTGATTTTAACTTTGTTTTACATGTTAAGGTGGCACTGTTAAATTTGCGTTAGTGGATATTGTCATATAAGTGACTGTTGATCAATCACATCTCCATGTAAATCAGGCCTGTTTGATAGAGAGAGGCTTTAGTTTTCGTCTTCTAAATGCAGTTAATCATAAAAACACTAGTTTTAAAAGAATAACTCGCATGTAGCTGTGCTGTTAGACTTGCTGCAGTATGCATGAGTGGTACAGCATATTTTTTATGTCTCTGTAGCAGACACAGGTAGCGTTAGCAGCCTGAGCATCCCAGTTGCACCCACCAAGAGGATCGCCTTCCTTTTTGACTCGACCCTTACAGCCTTCCTGATGATGGGCAACTTATCGCCGGTAAGTGAAAGAGTGTGGACGTGAAGGCTTCGCATCAGTGGAAGTGGGGTAGGGTGGGGTAACAAGCATAAGATAAAGATAGTGGCTGTGCTGTGATCTCAGAGGGAAAATATTCATCAATGCAGTGTTGCTCATGCATGTGAGTTCTGCTGCTCGCTGAATGGTGCAGAGGGATGTTTGCCTCAGTCTGAAGTATAATATGAGTGTACTTTTTATTTTAGTTTGGAAAAGTAAAATCTGTTGTCATGCTATCAGAACCTGAAGAGTCATGCTGTGACCATGTTTGAAGTGGGCAAACTGTCGGATGAGACTCTCGACAGCTTCCTGGCTGAGCTGGAGAAGGTGAGACCAGAAATCAGAATTTCTTTCTTGTTTGCAGAAAATCTCTCATCAAAAACTTAGCTTAAATTGAGAGGATGCTAACTAGGTGCAACAAATACACATGTATGTACAGACATCAAACACTACATGCAGACATCTGAATACAGTCACACAAACTCTGAGTTGGAACTTCTCCACTCGTTTCTGTTTCTCTCAGGTGGAGAGCACAGCAGAGGGCGAGGCTCAGCGTTACTTTGACCACGCTCTGACCCTGAAAAACACCATTCTCTTCTTGCGCTACAACAAAGAACTCACTCAGGACCAGGGACCTGATATTCCAAACATAGGTAATTATGCAGTTACACCGCCTTTATTTTCAAATGAGCACTTTGACGAGGACACGGGGTCTGTTACCAGTCACCCGTCCATCCCCAGTTTACAAGACTGGCTACCCTTCTTACAGTGTTGGTCAGATTTTAGTAAAAATTGTATACAGTGATCATCCAATGGGTCTTCATCCAGAAGTGTGCTCAAAGGCAAGGTCACTTTTGTTATTTTAAGGACAATTACCTATGAACTGTGGTCGATTGTGAGCTAAATGAGTTACTATCTATAATATAGAGCAGGGCGATATGACCAAAAATATTTATAACGATATACATTTGAAAATTTGCGATAACGATATAACTGACGCTAGACAAAATACTTTACAACTCCTCAACTTTATTAGTGCAAAAAACCCCATCAATGTATTTTCACTTAAACAAGCTGCTGTTTTTTAAGTGCATTAAAGTTATATAAAAAATTAACTGACTCCTCGCTGACAGTTTAACCAAAAGGCATTTCCAGTGGAAACTGGCTGACATATCCTCAGCATAACCACGTATAATATCCACAAAACTTAAAAAGAGGTTATACACACACAATACGGTAATATTATGTTGAAGCACAGTACGTATCACTCCGCGAGACTCCTGCCTACGATAGCTGTAAAGCTCCAACAATCCATCAAGAGGTGCGGCTTCGTAGCTTAGCAAAGTCGTACTGATACATTTGACAGATTTTCGAGCGCCGTGTACCACATAAAGTCGTTTCGAGGTCAGTAAACACAACCACAATTCATACATAAGGCACACGGGATTATAAGGGGCACTGTTGATTTTCAGAAAAATCAAAGGATTGATTTTAAGTGTTCCGTATTTTCCAAAAAACACGGTAGTAACGACGGCCCGCTAGCATGCTCTACCAAAAATAGCGCTTTGTTGTGTATCTGACGGACGAAAGCTAAACCAGTTCCACACCACTGAAGTTGCAGCATTTTTACAAACCAGTTCCATCCGTTTCATTCAACGATCCACTTTCGCTCTCCTCATTGCCCAACATTACACCGGTATTACCGTGAACGGTATGATATGGCCCAGCCCTACTATAATATATTGATTTTGTTGTTTCAGTATCATGGAGAGAAACCTGTTCAGTATCTTTGCTTTTGGCACGCATGAACTGAAACACCAAAACTCTGATTATTAGATGACCTTATCTACAGCTACAGTTACATCCATATAATTACTGTTATAATTATAGTGGTGGATGCTCATTATCATTGTGAGCCAGAATCTCAGGATTCAGCCTGCTTTAAATATTTGGTTTCACACAGCTTTTGTTTTTTTCTTTACTCTTAAATCATAATAATGGGATAGAAGGGCGAGATGGCCCTAATGTGGTCATCTCAGGGATCAGGTCTCATAGCTCTGGCTGTAATTGGCTAATCCTCTCAAACCTTCTGTTTACAAGTGTCAGCCACAAAGATGGTTTACAGGAAGAAGAGCTAAGCAGCTTTTTTCAGATAAAATGAGCTGAGCTGCACCGAAGTCGGTTATAAAATAAACAATGATTATTTTTAATATCAAATATTAAAGTTACGCTGTCATAATAGGGTCTAAAAACAAAAGCACTGAGCTTGAAGTAATAAGCTCCTTTTTAATGTGACACAGTGTAACTTTGAAGTGCATCAGTGGTTCTGGTGGTCTGTTTTCAGCTGATCAGGAGTTCATGTTTTTATCCTGACTCTGTTACCTAAGAAAGTACTCTGAGCTGCTGTGACTGCAGTTATAGAAAATGGTAAATGTCTTCCATTCAGCAACTTGTTCTGTGATCTCAGGAAATCAATACATGATTACTTTTTTGCTGGTTGTGCTGGTTGTGCTGCTTTTGGCTGGCATCTCTCACTATTGTCTCTTTTGGCCCTCACTGCTGTCTCTTAAATATGCTCACAGAAAATACTGAAGACAACGGCATACTATGTACACAGAGTAAACCTTTATTGTTCAGCTTGTGTCTCTAGAGGGAGCAGAAGAGAGTATGTCCTCCAGCTTCGACAAAGCAAGCCTCTGAGTTTCTGCGTAGCTTCCATTGCGCCACCAGATGCTGTTTGTTTGGTTTGGCCGTGTGCCTCCTTTCTGATTGTCTTATCTTTGTGTGCTCCTCATGCTGCTGCTGCTCAGCTGAGGAGTGAGAGCAGTAAGAGCCTGCTGGCTGAAGCTAAACTAATCCCCCAAAGAGTCTAATGATCATTGTTAATTTGGGAAGTGAAGGAAATTTGTCAAGCAAAGAAAAAAAACACATTTGGTAAAGTCAGAGGAGATTTTTTTTTTTTTTAAATTATTGGACCAGCCATTCATAACTGTATTAGAATGAAGAGAATAGAAAGTTGAAGTGTGCGTGCCATTTTCCATGTTACAGGTGTAGTTAATGATGAGTTATTATGGCGGTAAATCACTTTTTACAACAAAACACTCAGAAACAATTGATACTGTCAGAACGAACATTTGCAAATCTTGTAGATTATTAATCCCCGTTTTGTTAATTAAATATAAGTCACTTTATGTATCTTTGAAATTATTTATCTTTCACCCCTTTTTAAAATCTATTTTGGGGGATTTCTAGCCTTTTTTTTTTGTGATCAGACAGTAGAGAGAATGCAGTAAAGCTTGGATAAAGACCAGGGGGAAGGCACGGCAGTAAATGGTGTTTGGACGGATGCAAACCTGGGCTTGTGCATTGGTCTTATGGCACATGGATCGTCTGCTCACCTAGTCAGCTAAACCAGCCCTCCTGTCTTTCACCCTTTAATATCATAGACATCTCTTAGATTCAATAGGTTCCACTGCAAGATACAAGGATTTTAAATCCAAGGATGCCAAAAATATCCTTTGAAAACTTAAGCAAGAAAAAAAACTTTGCTCTGTTCAATCATCACATTATTGTCTAAAGCATCCACACTTAGAAATAACTATTCAAGCCCCCTTTTTTTTTTTTTTCAAAGGAATAGTAAACAGTTTAGGACACATGATTACCAGTTTTTTCACTGAAGATTAGCTAAAAAGATCCTTCAGCCTATGGTTTCTAAGGTATTCCTGTGCCAGATGAGAGATATAATCCCTCGAGGAAGTTCTGAAAATCTCCAGATCTCAGCCCAGCTGGATGCATCTGGAAAATCTCCAAAGAAGAACAGTCAGGAGGCATCCTAATCAGATGGCCTCTGCTCCATGCTTTCCAAGCTCATCACCCTATCTATACAGCTGAGCCCAGCTACCCTACAAGGCCAACTCTTATTTTGCTCATTTATATCTGTAATCCCATTATTTTAGTCACTACCCACAGTGCATGATGACAGAGCATGGTTGGAACAAAGCTCCCAGTTCATCATAACAGTCCGGTGGAGTGCAAATTTTTTGCTGTGGCGTTAAGAAATACTCTATCCTGAGACAACACTACAAATTTAATGCGCATAAACATTTGCATTAGCCTGTTTAGGAAGTAAGTCAGGATTTTCTCATGTTTTTCCTCTCACTAGGTTTCCCCTTGGACATGTTGCGCTGTGAGAGCCTGCTGGGTCTAGACCAGGCCACCTGCAGCCGCGTCCTCAACAAGAACTACAAGCTGCTGGTCTCGATGGCACCGCTCAGCAACGAGATCAGACCCATCAGCAGCTGCACCCCTCAGGTATGATGCCTGGAAGGAAGGAGAGCAGAAGGGCTGCTATTTGGCATGCTGGGATGTTTGGGTACATGTCGAGTGCGTTTATGTGTGTGTGTGTTTGTGTTCTAGCTGACAGTTAATGAGTTTGTCCGTTTGGTTGTGTTTGCCTTCTCTTGTAGTGTACACACTCATGCGCTCGGGATTGATTTGTGATTGTGTGTGTGCTCCGAGTGCTCAGCCTGCAGTTGCCCCAACAACAAGGCTACACATAGAGAAAAGGGAAGGAAAGGAGGCGAGGCTCACCAGTAATTCCTCTGCCTGGCCACACTCCAGCTTTCTAGCTGAGCTCAGAGAGACAGAGGGAAAGAAGTTAAACTCTTGTTGTGCCGTTCACGCTGCTGCTTATTCTAACACTGCTGGGACTCAGTGAAGTGGAATTTACCAAATTCTTGTCTTTGTTTTCTTCTCACGTCTCTAATAGCAGCTTCAGTTTCCCCTCAGACAGAAGAACAACACGGACGCAATTATTGTCATGCGCCTGTGTTATTTTTTTTAGGTTGATGTGAAGTGTGAGTTTATACGAGGAATGAGATGGGAAAACTGCCCAGTGTGCATGCGTTAGTTCTGCTTCTGTAAACTTATGTATGAGTGCGTGTGTGTTTTTGTTTCTCCTTGTAGCACATTGGCCCAGCCATCCCTGAGGTGAGCTCCATCTGGTTCAAGCTGTACCTGTATCATGTGACTGGCCAAGGCCCGCCGTCTTTGCTGCTCTCCAAAGGCTCCAGGCTCCGCAAGCTGCCGGACATTTTCCAGGTTTGTCCAAACTAATGATTAATCAGGTGTTTAAGTCAGAGGCGTAGAGACACGGTCTAGTCAGATTAAAAAACCGCAGTACTGTGTTGGACCAGCAGTTGGCTGAGTCACATTTTCACTCATCTTTTAAAACCTACCCTCTCAAATCTTTGACCTTCAGTGAGTCGGAAGGACGGGTAATCAGAGCGCTGGCTAGCTCTTTTCTAAACAAAGGCTCTCGTGGACCTTGGTCATATCTCACTGTAAACCTGCATTTTTCTCTTCAAAGGCTTCCTACTGGTTGTGGGATTTGTTTTAATAGCTCTGGGATTGTGAGACAAGGACCTAATGATGACTTGATACAGTAGATTCTCAGGGGAAGATGTGTAATGTCATGCAAATGGACCTATTAGACCATAGCTTGCATGCATGTATTTTTGCACCTTTTATCTACATGTCTCTTAATTTGTTGGTGTTTCAATAGGTTCAGAAAACATGCAAAATATTTTTAATGGGTCATTGTAACACTAATGACCTAGTTTTAAGGCAAATGCTAACTAGGAAAGGTAAGAAAGTAGAAATGCTGCAGCTTCATCCAGCCAGCCAGCCAGCCAGCCAGCCAGCCAGCCAGCAGGTTGACAGTCTGTTGCAGGGCTAACACTTAACATGTAATAAGAATCATGTGAAAGCAATTTTTGATTTTTTGGGAATTTCAAATTGACTGTGGAAGGACAGAGAGTTTCCATAGGAGAACCAGGTTATCTCACGCTGGGATAACATATGGAGTAGAGGCTTGCGGGGGTAAATAAGAAAACTTTTTAAGGGATTTTTGCCTTAAAACGATCTCACAGTCCTGTGAAAAACTGAGTACACTCTTACTGCTTTCACAGGTGATAAGAGTGTAAGTTGTAGCCAGGTGCTTCTAATCAAATGCACTTGATTAACTGATCATCAGCAAGTGTGAGTGTATTCATAAAAGCTGAAGTTTTGGCAGCTTGCTGGTCTGAAGCATTCTGGAGTGTGTTAACCTGAATCCTCCAGTGCCACAGCCCTTCGGGGAGAGTACAGTATTTAAACTCCTCTGTAGCAAACTATTCCAGAGTCAGATGCGAGACTATCTGTCTGACAGCTAAAGCTTGGCTGAAATTGGGTCATGTAACAGGACAATGTTCCAAAGCGCAGCAGGAAATCTACAACAAAATGACTGAAAAAGAAAATAACCAATGTGCTGCAATGACCCAGTCAAAGTCCAGACCTCAAGCTGATTGAAATTTAGGACCTTAAAAGAGCTGTGCATAAATAAATATCCATAAATCTCAATGAACTGAAACAACGTTGTAAAGAAGAGTCGGGCAAAATTCCTCCGTAATGAAAAGAGAAGCTGATGAAGTGACACAGACTGCAAAGTCTGAAGTGCCGTTTGGTGTTGAGCCCTGTGTGTGAGTCTGTTGATCAAAGGAGAGACTGGGCCATCTTGAGATTGTCACTGAAGAGCGAAGGGTGGAGGAACTGAGTTGGTTGTTTGTTTGCTCTGCCTTCTCATGGCAGTGCAGGAAGTTACACATTTAAACAATTTTAAATGTGTAACTTCCTGTCCATAAGTCACTTATGGACTGAAAATAATTAACCAGAGACATGAGAATAACACCTTAATTTCATTTAAAAGCTCTCTCTCAGTTTGAGAGAGCCAAACAAAATCCTTGGCATGTGAAATCAGCCGCAGGGTGGAACCTTGATTAATTTAACCGGCTAATATTGACCTAGTGGGAGGTTGACAAGATGGCATGACAGTTGAACTAGAAGAAAATCGTGTTTCCTCTTATTCTTTTTTGTTTTTCGATCTTCTAAATTAAACAAAAACTGGTAGATGGTTCAACTGAGATGCTGTCCTACATGTAGAAACCTGTATTTACATTTACATAAACAATAAAGCTATTTTGGGGCAAAAAGAAGTGTAAAATTGCAAACCTATCTCCACTTTTACACATCTACTATCATTTATTAGAATTTATTATGATTTATAAAGCTTTATGTTAAATAAAATGTGTTTTTCTTCATATTATTATTTTTTGTCCAGTTTGTTGAAAGCTGCTTTGGAAAAATCTGATGATGAGTGAAGTTATTCATTTCTGAATCCCTTGAACCATTTCTCTCTCTTCAGGTCTATGACAGGTTATTGATAACTTCCTGGGGTCACGACCCTGGAGTGGTCCCTACATCCAACGTGCTGACAATGCTTAACGATGCCCTTACACACTCTGCTGTTCTCATCCAGGTAAACTCACTCAGATGAGGCTGATTTTTCTATGTCATTGTCTTAAACCTCATTTAAGTTGAGAGGATAAAATATTGCCTTTAATACCAGATTATTTAACGTAATATTCATTTAATGCTGTCTGATGACATTTTTGTACGTTTTCTACCAACTCTTGCTGTGTTTGTGTATAAATGTGCACTGATTGTAATTTAAACTACATGTGCATGTAATCCACAGGGTCATGGTATGCATGGGCATGGAGAAACGGTGCACATCCCATTCCCTTTTGATGAGGAGGATCTGAAGGGAGGTAAGAACCTGTCTGTGCATAAACTATTGTTTTGATATAGCAGCTTTCAAATAGCCAACCTGCATTTAACCATAATGAAGAGTCCTGTTTTACTGAGTCAGACAAAATGTTAAAAAATGACATTTTCTTGGCTCAAAATGGACCTTTGGAGACTGACTTTGCACAGAGGCGCGACTGTCTCACATGCTGAATCTGTGTTGTGTTATTTTACAGAAATCAAAGCATTTTCTTTTCTATTTTTGATTTAAAGATTTAAAGTTTTTGAATAAATCAAACTGTTTTAAAAACACTGCTAAACATCGGCGAACCATAAGTGTACCTATGCAGAGAAAGCTGTGGCTGTCAAAGAATGAGAGGTGATAGTGAAATAACAGGAGAAAGGGGTTTTTCTCACAAGAAAATAGGAAACCATGAATTTGCTTCACAATAGTATTCTTGACACGCTACTGTTCTCTCCAGAAACGGAAAACTCAAACCCACAGATTGGAGATTAGGAGGCCTCGCAGACTCTTTATTTGATTTCCTATGGCTATTCATGGTGCAGAATAGAACCCCGTCCTACAATTCAGCATATTTCAATAAGATATAAACATTTCAAAAATGGATTTTAACACAATAAAAACCTCAGATATCAGGCCATTTTAAGTTTTTATTGATGTTTTGAAATATGGCTTTTTCCATCTGCTCATTTTTCGTGCTCCTAATGTGACCTTGGGTTCATGTGTTCCAAAGGAAGAGGAAATGTACAAAGTCTTCAGTTTGCTTTTGGTGGACTCGGTGACTCATAGCCAGAAAAGCTGTGGTGTAAGATGCATAGAGGGAATCTGAATCAGATAACAGAACAACCCTGAAAGGCTACTCTTAAATGTAAAGGATGGTCTCTCTACTACTGACGTCCTCTTTAAAGGTGACTCTGAATGTAGCTTAAAAGGGCTGTCAATGAACATTAAATTATTATATAAAAATAAAACGGATTTACGTCTTTCTATTTGCATGTTCGTACTTCCTAACATTACAGAGAGATTAGGTAAAGTGTAGCAATGTGTCCTTGGTTTACAGCCTTAAATTGTTAACTGATAATACTGTTATACTGTATTATACACTAATGATATATCAGCATTGGTATACTTTCACTGGCAGGGTGTGCATAAATTACAAGCATACCTTCAAACTGTGATCTTTTCTCTGCTGACTCAAACATTCACTGTTTTCAGCTTTGAGGGTTTTAACTCATCAAACACTGTTAGATTTTGAATCCTGTAAAATCCCTCTCTTTGTGCATTTGCTTAAAAGTACCATTTAAGTCTCATCCTCCTAATGTGCTTACTGAACAAATGTAACAGGCCAAATGAATAAACACAGTCCATAACAGCCTCATGCAGCAGATAAATTGTGGCCGTATCTTTGCATCGTGTCATTTTGAGTGTTAGCTTTGCCCCGTTTGGTGTTTAACATGATCCCACTGTGTGTGTTGTGTGCCTCCTGTGCAGAGTTCTCCTACTCCAACATGTGCGTGCACAAGGCACTGCAGAAGCTGAAGGAGCATGTGGATCTGGAGCACCAGTGTGGCTACATCACCATGCTCAACTCCAACAACAGGCACCGCCGCAGGCCCAGCGACAGCACAGAGTGCAGAGGTAACAAGAGCTCGCACGTGCACTTTTTTTTTCTTTTTTTTTACGGCTGTGCATGTGAGGGTGCTGGATGGAAAGCATGCCGGGTTGAACTAGCAGTGGTGCATTTACCTGCGATGGCCATAATAGCACTAATGGTGCAGATTGGATAAATATCGCTCACAGTCCAGTTTAATTATGCCGTTTGTCTGCAGAATAGTTTCTTTTATTGTGATTGCCTTTGGTAATGCATATGGATCGAACACTTTTAGCCTTTACCTTCAGATCAGCTGATTGAATCTTGATGTAAATGATCACAAATCTCATTTAACGCGCCAAGTGAAAGATACAACACTGCAGGTCTGATTTTTAACAGATGAATTTCCAATGTAAATCCCGCAAATGGCAAGAAATTATTTTAAAAAAGCTTCTCAGTTGAAGGTCTTATAGGCTTTATTCTAGCTCTCACCATTTACCCACAAACAACACTCAAAAGCCTTAACTGTGACTTAGATTTTGTCACTTCTCTTCCAGGAGACACCCATCTAGGTGGAGGCTTGGACACTAATGGCAGCACTGAGTCCTTTGAGCTTGTGACAGAGGAGAACAACGGTGAAGGCAAAGGAAAGACAGACAGTAAGTGTGTGTTAATTTAATTAGGATATCTCCAGTAGTATTTAATCAGATGTTTGTTAGTTGAAAGTGTTTGGGAAGAATCTAAGAGCTAAAGCTAAAGTGTGACAGAGGCTCCATGCTAAATTCAACACCAAAATGCTCTTGTCAGTGTCTTATGTTGTAATTTGTGTCCATCTTTCCCTTGCCAATCTCTTTTTTCCCCCTCAGCCCTTTCATCTGAAGACGAGTGGGTCCCTCTTGAACTGTGCTTTGGCATGCCCCTCTTCAGCTCTGAGCTCAACCGCAAAGTGTGTCGAAAGATTGCTTCGCACAAGCTCTGCAGCAACGAGAGGTAAAAATCAAAATCAGGCAGCATCCTCTAAAGCTTAACTTTTACATAAAAACTGTGACAGGAGCTTTGACGTGTGTTGATGCTTGACTAAAGATTTGTTGTTGTTTCAGCCTTCAAGAGCTACTCCACTCGAGCCGAAAACTGTCACTCAAGGTGTTGAGCTTCGTTCAGTCATTCCAGGTAAAATCACTTTGCAGTTTCTTCAGGTGTCCGCTTAAGAAATCCTGCTCAAAAGTAAAAGTCTTGGCCAGTGAAAAGAGCAAATGTCAGGTTGACAATAATTTATCCATTTATTTTGATAAACTGTTTAAACTGATTCAGATCGCCACAGTTTGTATCTAAAAAGCGTCCCAGACTGATAATCCATTCAAATGTCCAGTCAAGACACGAGCCACGTGGGCCTTATGAGACAGAAAGAAATATCATAGTAATAACAGGAAAGTACAATGTGGTAAAAATATAAATATGTTGTTTTAGCATAATTAATGTTACTATTTAAGCATTGTTCATTTTCAATTTATTTATATATCGTCAATTCAGAACAGCCTCCTCAAGTTGCTTTAAATTATGTGGTAAGACCCTACAACATTAAACCCCAAACAATCAGGTGATGGGCAGCACTTGGCAGCAGTAGAAAGGAAGTACTCTCTTTAACAGGAAGAGACCTCCAGCATAACCAAGCTCCGGGAGTGGCAATCATCTTCTGTGATTGGTTGGAGGGTCAGAGGGGAAAGAAAAGAGAAAGAACAGAGCTTAGAGAGGAGGACAAAACAAACACGATAAAAGAGGAGATAAAAGTTAATGACATATAAAAATGGCATCCAAATGCACAGGGAGTGAAGAAGAAACTGAATGCAGACTGATTGCAGTGCAACTAAGGAAGGGTTCAGTTTTATGCATAATTAACAACTGTTATTACTTTTAACCTCAGTGCTTTAAAGTGATTCTTATTCACCACTTTAAACACACGTTCACACTCTTCATGAACACTGTTGTGACCCACAGCTAGTTTAGGGAAAAACCTTCAAACAGACCTGTTGTGCTGATTTTCATTCACATTTTAATAGCAATCTCTATTTATTTCTATTTGGCCTTGATATGGCCCCTTAGTCTCATTAAGGCATCTTTCTTCTGATTGGTTGCCCTTGGATGACTATATTAATGGCATCTGTTCTCTTTGTAATCATAAAGAGACAAAAGTAGAAAAAAATGGTCTCAATCAGAGTGTTTTAAGCAGTCTCTAAGCTCGGCTTTCAGCCTTCTGCGATTACTTACACATGCGCTGACCTCATTAGTTGAAGCTTTTGCCAAGTGTAATAGGAGCATCCAACATCGTAATAGTACATATGTGACAGAAAATAAGGAACTGCATAATGGGTCCACTTTAAGTTGGTGTTTATTTAATTTTAGTGATCAATTAAAGACATGAACATTACAATGCAAAACAGGAAGTGGAGCTGGGTGAACATTTAGTGCAAGAAAGAAAGAAAAGACAGAAATTGGAGACGAAGGAAAAAATAAGTGAAGTAATCAGAGCTGAATCAGGGTGTTGCAGCACGAAGGTAACATGATTAAGCGAAAGGATGTGGCAGCAGTATTTACTGGTTGAAATGGTGGGCTGTTTCATGAATCACACAGGAACCCTTCTGCTGGCTTTTCCTCCTATAAAAATATATCCCTGCCCTTCATATCGCTGCCTGGTGTTCTGATCTGTCACCTTTGACCCCGTGTTGGCAGGATGGCAGCCAGCCCTCTGACCTGGACAGCGGCGTGTCCAACCCTCTCAGCCAGCCCCCGCCAGAGTCCGGTGTCCCCCTGCCCGCCCTCAACCTCCTCTTCAAGGACGGGCAGCTGAAGGAATGGAGCGGGCGCGCCCCTCCTCCTCTAGACATCTCAGCCCTGCAGAAAGACCAACTGACATAAAGCATCAGCAAAACTTCCAGATTTAGGAACGAGGAAGCAGCGTCCCAACAAAGGGGGCTAATGTCTTTTCGCAGCGTCACGTCTCACTGTGGAAATTCCTGTTCGTGGTTCCAGCCCTGCATCTTTAAATCCAGTCACAAGGAAACTCCCTTATTCGTAAGCCCCGCCTTCTTGTCCATCAGTATCCAGTCATAGGATAATTGGCCCCGTCAGCACTTTGTCATTCACCTACTGTATGAGGAATCATCGACACTAGTACCAACCCTCTTTGCTGTCCTCCTTCCCTCCCCTCTGTGATTCCTCGTATTCGTAGCAAGGCAGTGTTATCTGTTGGAGTGGTGCTATTATCACACTATATCACAGCGATGCAGGTAAACATCATTTAACCTGGAAGACCATCTAACTGGAAACAAATGCGCTGTTTTCCCACTGACTCCACCCCACCCCCCACCCCTTCAGTCGATGGATGTTTTGTGACCCTTGAGAGCAGAGTGTAAAATGGTTAATATTGCATAGATGTTCTAAAAAAAAAAGAAAAAAAGACCTATAAAATAAACATTAAAGTGTTGAACAGACTTCTTCAGGAATCATTTGACAATATGCATATTCTAGGACCAATTCTTTGGACTTTAACCAGGTTGATAAGACCCCGCTGCCTCCCTGTATTGTCTCATGTTAAGTGATCTAATGCATGATACTATTGCACAAAAAAATCTTTCCTCTTTACTTGTAATCAATATTTGGGGCATTTATTATTTGCACTGTGCAGGATTTCTTCAAACCTGTGGATGAAGTAACATCATGTAATTTTTTTTTTTTTTAAATGTTGGCTCATTTGTAGTGTGCACGTGATTTTAGAGCTCACCAAAAGGAAAGTGTCATACGAGGCATCTGAGAAACTGCGTTTTTTTTTTTTTAATCCATTAGAGAACACCAAAGACCTTATTTCTTTATAATGATTTATTTTCTTTTTACTCCTTTCTCTGTTCTTTTATTTTGGTGTTGCCTTATTATTTTCAGCCAATCAAAAACTACCAGGTCTGGGATCATATCTCCTGATTTTTTTTATTTCCTTTTTTGGGGGGTTGTTTTTTTTAAATCTCACAAGTTTCTTTCTTTTTTTTTAAAATTGTTAATATGCATTCGATGTAGTGTGTCTAACTAATAAAAATTACCAACGTCGGATCAAAAAACCTGCCAGCCATTATCAAGAATTTGACAAAATGAATCAAACTGAGGCAAACTGAAAAGAATGGGAACAGTTAGCTCTGCGTGTTTGACCCAGGGCTGTTGCCACTGTCGCTTGCCAGCTATCTCTCTCTGCCTCTCTGTGGATCAGCTTTTGTGCGGTGCACTCTTGGCCAGCCTTGCTCACTCTCCAGGGGATTCTGTTTACACCATGTTTTGAAAAAAAATAAGGGGGTTTGTAGTCTAGAGAGAAGGCAACTTTGTTGTGAAGGCTGTTGCAGACCCAGGGGATGGAAATGCTAATGCTTTGCCCAGCATCTCAGAGATGTGATGGCCCAAAAAGTGTCTGAAGCCTATCGTGAATTTTTTCAGTGTTGCTCTGAGAATATAGAGTACTTTTTTTTTATTGCGTTTAAATGGAAACCCAGTTTGTTGAGCTCTCTCTCTATTTTTTTTTTTTTTAAAGGAATCTACATTCTGTTTTTGACCCACTTGTGGTAGTTTCTGATACGTGATGCTAAAATAGGGGAAAAAACAACTGTCACAAGAACCTTTTGAAGCATGATGACTGTAGAAACCATTGTGAGTATGTTGCGTGAGTATTGTACACGTCACGGGTGTGTTTTAATACACGCCTACCTTTCACAGTAAGAGTCTCCTCCCAGTCCTGCCTGTTTGTTATCTACTTGCAGTTACTCAGTCGTCCCAGATACACCCCCTTCCTCCCCTAGATATACATCCACCGCAGTGTTTAAAATGCTAGTTTTATATGTCAGCAGGTATTTTAGGAACTCTTTGTTGTAGCTTGTTTAATGGGACTGTGGATATTTGACAGATTTAAACATGATCTTGTAATTACATTGGTTACAAAAAATAGAAGAAGAAAGTGACATTCCTTCACCATGCCCTTCCTTTATCCTTTTCTCCATCTTGCCTCGTCTCCGGTTACATACTATTACAGATAAATATGTAAAAAGTATATGAAAATATAAATAAATATGTAATAAGATCAAACTCTCTCCTCCCCCCTCTCCATTATAATATCCTGCAGTGGTGTATTTTATTTCTCGTACACTTTTGAAGGTTTTGAATCACTGATTCCACCGCCCACAGCCTCTGACTTGTGGCCAATCACATTACACCATAGTAGGCCATTAGATGTTTTCCAAGCCAGGTGGAACAGATGGTGTGCAAGACGCAGCGGTCCGGATGCTCTGTCCATCTGCCTCAAGTATACACATATTCAACTATCCTCATAGATTTTAACGGACACTGAGCTGAAAAACGCATTGTTGAATACCTGCTTGTGCAGCCTTTGAAAAAGCTATGAAAAGCCTGCAATTTTGGGATGGGGGGTGGGGGGAGATTAAGGTGTCAGTCTGAGGCTGGCTGTGTCCCCATCGGACAGGTGGAGCCCTGTCTAATTGAGTGTGTCTCCCAGGCCTCCCTGCTCCAGTAATTTCCCAGCACCACAAATTACTGAGTGTTACCAGGGGGCACCGGGGGCGTAAACTGGGTCATGCCACCGGAGGATAAGAAGCACCAAGAAGCGGTCAAATAGGCTGCATGTCACCACTCTAACAGTCTATTTCTTTCCCAACACCTTCAGCCTGCGTTGATATAAAACCTCATCCTCTAAAGGTGTAATACATCTGCTGAATTCATTCTGCATGTTATTTTTGACTCCTATCATATGCAGCGTCAGACTGAGGCTGCTGCAGGGCATCAGAGTGAAATAAGAGGAAAGTAAAACACGCGCGCACACAGCCGCACACAAAAGCCCAGAAAAAAATTGTGCTTATTCACACAATGAGCACAAACTTGAGCCGAAGTGGATGAAACGCTTGTGAATGGTGAAATTACACCAGCCTCTTACACACAGTCTGCTGCTTTGTCATTTTTATGTCATTTCAAGAGAAATCAGAAGTAGATGATCTTTGAATGAAGCTGCATCAGTATCGGGTCAAACAATGACACACATGCACACCCTCATACTCCAGTAGAGCATCTGGGGGCCACAAATGTCACAAGTCTACAAACTCTTGTGCCTGATTAGATTAATTACATTCGTTCAACTAGGAAAAAATGTGCTGATGTAACTCTAAAAGTGGAATTACAGTTACATACAGTGCTGTATCCATATCTGGAGTGCTAACGCTCAGTGGCACTGTTGTGACCTGGAAATCTGCATTACAGATGCACTTTGTGACCCTGCCACAGTCTTACTAACCTGGAAAAACATTCATCCTGGACTACTCGGGGGTTATGGGGAAATAACTTAATGTGATCCTCTGCAGCTCTACGACAGGTCAGTCTCTTAATTAACCTGATAGTCTGGAGGAGTGCTGCCAAAAGGTCTCCTTCCTAATCTGTTGAGTTCTTAAATGAGACCTTTCTACCTGCTTAAACTGCAGAAATCTGTAATAGGTGACTCTGCATTTCACCAAGGACAGAATGACACTGAAACTATACTGAGGTCACACTCAGGGTCATTCACCCTGCAAAGTTTGTCTCTCTCTCTCGTCTTCATAATGTAACATTTGTTTCCTTTAAACTGCAAGTTTGCTCGGAGCCCTCAGCACCTGTCCTGTTCCTCAAGCCGTTTCACATACAGGTGTTGTCACACAGAGGTTGCTGCAGCAGCAGTAGCAGTGTGTGCCATTTCGGGGAGCATATTCCCTTTGACGGAGGGATACAGTGGTGAGAAAATAGTCCATAACCAAGAACCTCCAGGCATTCTACGAGCCAGTACAAACATAATGGAAATATTATGGTCCCTCCAGGAGATAGCAGGCAAAGTACTTGGCAGCTTCAGCCCATTCAAGGACAGAGAGGTGGTCATAACTGTAAAAATATCTCCAGATGTTAGAACCCCGCCCCCCACCCCACTCCACTGTCCCCACCCCGCACACCCCACTCCACTGTCCCCTTATAGGACAGTGGTAATTAGTACCAAGGCATCAGTCACTTATCTATAGATTCATCATTCCAGGATCTAGTTTGATTGACTAACTGATTTTCTTTCCAATACACACCACAAATCAAAGAACATCACAAACACTTACATACATGTTAAGACCATGACAGTGTGCCTGCAGTAATTACCAGAGCACTAAAAAGTAATCATAACATTAGTCTGTTTGTTCTCACAAATATACATATATCCTCAGTTCCAAAACTATATTTACAATTAAAATAACCAACAGACTCAAAGTAGATCCATCTGACTGCAAACAACTAACACAATAAAATGTTTGTGTATATTGTTTTACAGTTTAATGAGTCAGTCTGAGCATGAACTGAGAATCCGAGTGAACGAAACGGCTCATTAGAGAGCAGGAGCGGATATTAAAGATGCGGTGGAGAAAATTACGCGCACTTCCGCTTTAAAAGCGGCGCTGCGTGTAGCTGGAGAGAGTCCCTGCTGATGCCGAGTCACCCGGTGTGGCACGCTGCTCAGTTCCTGAGCTGCTTATATCTGCGTATGTAGGCAAACACGTCGCTCTGTCGTTGTGTCTGTGGAGGATTTTGCTTTCATCGTTTCTTTTCCGACAGAGGGCGGACGTAACTTTACGCAGGGAAACAGGAGGTGAGGCTACACCTGAGGGATATTTGTCCTCGCCGAATCTGTAAGCAGTTTGTCTTTTCCTCCCAACTCCACTTGTTGATGGGGCACCGAGTGGTTATCGGCGCATTCGGTAAACGGAGTTACTCTTATGCGTAATTTGGACAAAACCCTGTCTGAGGGCAGGGCGAAGGAAGTTTTTTTAGCCTTTTTGTGGCAGATGGTTGGGATGTTTGGCGACCGGTAACAGCCTTCGGCATCAGATCACATTACACAAGCTGCTACCAGGTGAGCAGCGGCATGGGGAACCAGATGGACAGGCTGTCGCATTTAAGTTACGCAGAAGTTCCCACAGTGGACCCCAACGGCGTGGACGCCGAGGACGGTCCGCGGATCGGCGTCTCTTACATATTTTCCAACGACGACGACGAGCTGGAGGACGGCTGCGCGGTAGACGGCTCCGATAAAGACCCGAATCAGGAAGAGAAACAGTACGACCAGCGCGACGAGGTGGAATGCGCCGTCTACAACAGAGACGAATGCATTTACGAGAAGAGCGCAAAGTCGGTGAACCTGGAAGTTTACTCCCCAGAGAATCTGCTAAACAAATGCAAACCAGGTGATCTGGTGGAGTTTGTGGCTACGGGTCAGTATCCGCACTGGGCGGTGTATGTGGGAGACTTCCAGGTGGTGCACCTGCACAGAGCCGAGGTAAAGAACCGCTTTCTGACCGATGCGAGTCAAGGGAGGAGGTGTCGGATTGTTAACGAGCTGTACAAATTCAAAGCTCTGGGTCAGGACATGGTGGTGCAGAACGCGATGGAGCAGGTGGGACTAAAGGACCGGGAGCTGAGCTGGAGAAACTCTGAGTGTTTTGCAGCCTGGTGCAGGTTCGGCAAGAGGGAGTTCAAAATGGGTGGGGAGATACGCATAGGCAAGCAGCCCTACAGGTTGAAAATATTCATGACGGGCAAACAGCCGCACGTGCTGGAGTTTCAGAGTTTGGAGGACATGATCATGGAGAAGAGGAGGAACGATCACCTGGGCAGGACAGCCGTGCTTCGGGAGCTGGCCGCTCATTACAGCAGGATGGAGGAGATCAAAAGCGAGCCGGGAGCTGAATGATGTCCGCTTTTTCGTGCTCTTCAAAATAGGCTAATTGCGTTGCAACTTAAGTGTAGAGT